TATTGAAAAGATTTATAGTAGATGAGCACATTTAATGTAATTTTTTATTAATTAAATAGTAATTATTTGATAAAGTTGTTCCTTTTTTTTATATAAAAAATATGATTGTTTTAGTATTATGATGTTTATTAATTATCCATTTTTATAAAAAAATATCAAAAAAATATAATTGGTCAGTATTACAATGTTTATCAATTATCTATTTTATAAAAAATATCAAAAAAAATAATTGGTCTGTATCAGTATGTATTACAATATTTATCAATTATCTATTTTCGTAAAAAATAGTGAAAAAAACATGATTGGTCAGTATTGTGATGTATAGTCTGCCCAGCAGACAGGATATCCTCATGCATTTAAACTTCACAAATATTTACTAATTAAATTTTATTTATCTCATTTAATTTAGTGTATGTGTATTATGTGTGTGTATGTACAAGAATATTATAGTATATGTATTAAAAATACCTATTAATTTAAGCATCTGAATAAGAGATTAAATTTTATGAATATTTACTATCTATTTCCAATTCATTATATTAATTTAGTGCAAGAGTATAAGATCACTTATTAATTTTGGTATTTAAAGTAAGATATTAAATTTTAAAGAACAAAAGCATTTAAAGTAAACTATTAAATTTCACGAATATTTACTAATTAAGCTTTATTTATTTAATTTAATTTAGTGCGTGATGTATCAAGAACATTTATTAATCTAGGAATTTAGAATAAGCTATTAATCTTTATGAATATTTACTATCTATTATTAATTTATTCACATTAACTTAGTGGAAAGATTTATCAATCTGGGCATTTAAAGTAAGTTATTAAATTTTAAAGATTTAATTAAGCCTTTAAACTTTACGAACATTTACTAATTAAATTTTATTTAAGTTAATTTAGTACGTGTGTATTATTAACACTATTATTTAGCATTTGGCTAAACTATTAAATTTTACGAATATTTACTATTTATTTTCAATTTATTACGTTAATTTAATGCAAGAGTATAAGAATATTTATCAATTTGGCATTTAAAGTAAGCTATTAAATTCTAAAGATCGTTTATTAGCAAAAGCATTTAAACGATTAAACTTTACTAATTTTACTAATTAAGCTTTATTTATTTGAGTTAATTTAGTGTGTAATATATCAAGAACATTCATTAATCTAGGCATTTAGAATAAGCTATTAAACTTTACGAGCATTTACTATTTATTATTAATTTATGCACATTAACTTATTGCAAAAGTATAGAAAGATTATCAATCTGGGCATTTAAAGTAAGCTATTAAATTTTAAAGATTTAAGCATTTAAACTTCATGAATATTTATTAATTAAATTTTATTTAAGTTAATTTAGTACGTGTGAATATTAAATTTTATATAATATTGATTAAATATTTAAATAGCAACAGATTTAAATTAATTAAATTTGTTAGTATATAGTAACTTAAAAACTTACATATTTGTAATTAGATTTGGATATTTAAAAAAATATTATTATTAATATATATTTTAATTAATATTATTATATATATTATACTTCGGAATAGAATTATTGTAGAATTAGAATCTACTGAGGGTTGTTCAAATAAACATAGTTTGTAATAGAATTCTAATTTGCATTCAAATTGTTAAAGAATTCAAATAGATTCTAAATTAGTTTTATCGTCTTCATACTTACTATACTTATAAGTATGGTCATCTTTCCTACTCATAAGTTTGATAGGTACGATTTTTAAATATACGAATGAGTATAAAGATCTAACGTTGTACTGCGCTATTAATTTTATTTTTCATACTATACTACTTTAGATAGGACCCCTACAAAATGAGTGTCGGTAAAGTGATAGGTGGTGGTAATCTGATGATTACTGTAATTTGAAAGCGCCAATATGTGGTTGCTTTATCGATTATATAGACAGTATAAAAGTAATATTATAAAGTTTTAGTTCTCATTTCCTTTTTTTAGACCAACTTTTCTAAGCAAAAAATTTGTTTATTTGTTATTGTATAGATCCGATAGAACTATATATGAGTGTCTCTAAAAGAAAACACGAAATTTTAAAGATAAGTCATAGTTAAATTTCGGGTTTTCTTTTAGTGATACTCATATATATTAACTATTTTCTTTGTTAACTTAATACACATTTTTTAAAGTATAAATCTTTAAATTCCAGTTAATAAAATATGGAAATACGCTCAGCTTCTTCTAAAGGTTCCCAAAGTGTAAGCATGTCTTGTCCTTCAATAACAATATCATTGAAATAAAGTTCTAAACAAGTTAAAGTAGTATTTGTATGAAGCGCCTTTGCTAATGCATTTCCACCTTCATTATCAATATTATTACTGTTAAGAAATAAAGAAGTTAAAGTATTGTTTTTATAAAGTGCTTTTGCAAATGCAATTGCACCTTCATTACCAATAAAATTTTTGCAAATGTTTAAAGAAGTTAACGTAGTGTTTTTATAAAGAATCTTAGCCAATGCCTTTCCTCCCTCAACATCAATATTATTCTCGCAAAGACCTAACGAAGTTAGAGTAGTATTTATATGAAGTGCCTTTGCTATGGCCTTTCCTCCCTCAGAACCAATACTACTATTAAAAAGATTTAAAGAAGTCAGAACATCATCCTTACGAAGTACCTTTGCTAATACATTTGCTCCTCCAATACCAATATTATTATCCCTAAGTTCTAAAGAGGTTAAAGTAGTATTTACGTAAAGCGCTTTCGTTAATGCATATCCTCCTTCATTACATATAATTCCTTTGATTCTTAAATATTTCAACTTCTTACTGGTTCGTAGAAACATTGTAATTAATGAATTTTTAATAGCAATGAAAAGATTATCATTTTTCGAACTTTCCCTTTCAACATGAACTTTTCTATAACCTTTATAAACAAGCCATGTTATTATTCCATCATCCAAAAAATAATCGTGAATGGATGTAATATGAATTGTATATTCAAATAATGGTTTTGGAGAATTTGGAAAGATATTTTTAAAGGGGATTAATAATACTTGCTCTTCTGCATTCAATAATAGAAGACATGTTCGTATAAATCTTCTACTATAAAGATGAAGTTTTGGCCTACTCCATAATATTGGTACGCAAATTCTACACCATAGACAGTTTACAAGAAGGCATGAAAATAAGCTTTGATAATCATCTTGAAGGTTATTGAATATTTCAACAAGGCATTCATTCGGTAGATTACATATTTCTGTCATTTTAAAAATGAAACTACGTACGTACGTATGTATAGTATATACGTACATCCGCCCATCCGTCCGTTATATAATTGATAATGGACTGTGAAACGTGTGGTGCCTATTCCTGTTACCTCTTGGTTTGCACCAATGCATATGTCATTGACATGAGTTGTTCATGTCCGACATGTGAACTTCCCACGCTGTTTGATACTTCACATGTGCAGGCATTCCGAAGCTGGCGGTTGAGGCGCCGTGTGACTGTCTCTCTTTTCGCCCACGTGATCTACTATTACTTCGCATGAAAATCAATTGGTAAAGTTTTGTTTAACATTCGTAATAAACTACTGCGGCTACAGTATAGTTTCGATAAAATTTCAGTTTTTCTAGTATTTTTCGGGTTATGAAAAAAAGCTCTCAATTACACAAAAATAAGCTATCTATTGAACTCTCATGCGAAATTTCTAAATAGATTAATATATAGAATGTCGAAAAAATATATGGCAATTTTCTACAAAAAATTGTAAACTTCAAATTGTATCTCCTCGACATTCTACATATTAATCTATTTTGAAATTCGCATGAGAGTTTAATGATAACATATTTTAATGTAAAGAGTTTTTTTCATAAACTAAAAAATAATAGACTATTACATTTATTAATAATAAAAATACTGCGACAACAGTTTAAAATTTAATTATATTTCAGGTTATGAAAAAAGCACTCAATTTCATTAAATTCTCGATTCGTTATTTTTTCACACAAAATTTTCAAATAGATTGTTGCAATTTTTTGTAGAAAATCGCCATATATTTTCTCAACATTCAATATATTAATCTATTTAGAAATTTCGCATGAAAGTTCAATGGATAGCACATTTTGATGTAATAATGAGCTTTTTTTCACAACCCAAACAATAATAAAAATATCTGAAATTTTATCGAAACTATACAATTGCCGCAGTAGTTTATTATGAATGTTATATAAAAATCTTTACTAATTGATTTTCATATAGGACTAAATACAGATTTGATTTTCATAGTACATCGAACACTCAACGGCAACTACCCCAACAGCACGCACATATTTGCGCGAGTAATACAAACCCCTAAAAAGGAAACGGCCAATCGAAGCGCACAAAATTTGACTGTTCTGGATCAGCTCGACATGAATTCCGAAAATGTGGGAAAGAAGAAACAAGCGGAAATACTCAAAAACTTGTGTTTAAATCGACCTTGCTGCACGAATTAAAAATGTTGAGAACGAAATTTTACATATAATGAGCAACATTCCATTGTTATAGCCTCTAATGTTAACGCCCTAGTCAAACTTCAATCTTTACGCACTTGGTTTATTTGCAAAATTTGATTTTCTTTTTTGGTTTGTGTAAATAAGTAAACTGGTATGTAACTATATTGATATGCAGTTGTTCAACCGATTAAGATAGAATTACAAAATCAAAACTTCTCGCCGTATAAAAAAAGGGATGTGGCTTATGTGCAGCTTGTGCATTAAGTTCGATATCCTGCACAGCTATGCATAAGTTTGATACCTTGCGCAGCCTGCAATTTATAATTTAGAGCAGAGTGCAAAATTTCCATAAAGTATATAAGATATAGAATAATATACTTATATACGTACGTAAGTACATACGTATATCTCGCAATTAATACGCAGTAGAATCAAAAAAATTTTCGATTTGCCCATTCTTACACCGAATATATCGCACAATGCGTGTATATACCTAGCACCATTGTAAAAGTGTAAGGTTCCGCAAGTTATTCAATGGTAAAATTAGCATCATTTATCGAAAACGACAAAAGACGAAGCCTAAGGCCAAAAAAGGCGAAAAATAAAACTCTTTCGCAAAATAGCGAAATGACTCCGGCGAAACTGCAAACCCCCCGTTAACCGGTGAATTCATTATATGCCCCTAAAATTTGGTATGTATTTGAATTTGAAATCAATAACCAGCATGGCCAATAAAAACTTCGGTCAGACACTACCAAAATGTTTGTTTTTCTTTTTTAAAAAGCAAGGTTCAATGATATAGTATATTTGGGGAGTTAGATATATAAAAGTATTATTTTTTGAAATAATGTGCTTTACAAATGTTTTAATACATTTTCTCTAAGAAAAACTTGATAACTTTTTTAAAAAATCCAAATAATTATTTATTAACCTGTCTATTAAGTGTGCATTGAATTAACACTTTTTAAAGTTTGGTAGTCTCATGAAATGTGGGTCATAGGATAGTATTAAATACAGAAATATGAATTGTCATGTTATTCCAAGCACCCCTTGAATGTATGCCAAGTTGGTGGCGTATTAATCAGCCAAAGTAATTTGCTCCATTTAATTTTTTTTTAATAAATTTAAATACGAACCACAATAATAGAGTCGTTTCTTTTTTATTTTCTAGAAAGTACATCGCTTCGTCCCTTTATAACTTCCAGTCTATAATATTAAAGTTATTCGAATTCACAGAACTATTAGCATGCCTTTTTCCATAATATCTTTCAAATTTTTTTTATAATAATAATTTATCAAAGAAGCACGAAATAATGAGAAAACATTAGCCTTAAAAGTTGTGAGATTCAAAATGAATATAAAATATGTATAGTTAATAAAATAAATACGAGCAGTATTATACAAATTCCTTATATAGAAAGTTTTTCATATAACACGAACCAGAATAATAAAAACGCTTCCTTAACCTAATCATCAAAAAGGGTTCATCTTAAAAGTTTAATAAAGTCTCTACATACTCTATTTACATAAAAAGTATTACGTATTTACAAATCAGAGGAAAATAAAGATTCTATAAAGCACATACAGGACAGTTGGTGAAATACAATGTAGAAAAAGTTTCGTTCTAAAGGAAACATGAACCGCATCTGTATTTAATCGGTGCAGATTATTGTGGCTGATTACTGCACCAATTACCTGGAACACATTTAAGGAATGCTTATTTCAATATATTTCAATAAGTTCAGCAATTAAAAATAATAAGTTAGCGAGTTGCAAATTTGAGCACCTGAGTTAGTTTGTGCTTTGAAACCCGTTCGAATACTGTATGCTTTAAGCTATTTATAAACATATAATATTATTAATTATGCACGCTTAAACATGTTAGTTTAAAACCTGCTATATATTTATTTATTATATAGTATATATTGCATTTCATTGCAGTGATTTATTTTTTTGACCCTCATATATTCAATCATACCCATTCATATCACGTTTTCAAACAAAGGCTTGCGCTTCAGATATATATGGCTCAACATTCGTTTTACAAATACTTCTTATTAATTCATTCACCTATCCAGATGATTACGTTTAAAATGCATTTTTATAGTAGAAAGACCTGTATCCATTGAAGAAGCTTTATTGTGATGTTTGAAATATTACTTGTCGCCACTTTCAATAAGCTCATCCCTGAAAGAATCAGGTTTAAATCGTTTTGAGGGACTGTTTATTGTGTGTGCTGTGATAATGTTAAAATAGATGTAGAGGTAAGTTCATTTAGTTTATTAGGTTGTTTGAGTGTGTTTTCTTCGTTTGTCGTATGAAGATAAAAGAAAAAAAATGTCACGCGTTAAGATAAAAGAAAAAAATGTTGCGTGTGAAGATAAAAAAAAAAATTGGTATGTATTTATCGTAATTGAAAATGCTTCTATAAGAAGGTACATTTTTTTTAAAAAAAAAATGCATAATTTTTAATTAAAAAATGTATAACTTTTAATTAAAAAATAATGCGAAAACTCATTTATATCATTTACGTCATGTAAATTAGCTTTTTAATTAAAAAAATTAAATTACAAATCATGAAACAGAAAGTAAATAGTAAATATCATAAACTTTTTGATCTTAAATAGCTTATTTAAATACTTAGATTAATACTCACGCACCAAATTAATATGGGAAAAATGAAATTACATAGTAAACAATTTTATTAATAAATATTCTTTATATACTCATGGACTTGATTAACACGAATAAAATGAAATTAAATAATGTAGCACATTCCGGCTTTCACTCAAATAATTGTGACCCTCCATGGACTTTCTATCTTTAATAATCATGCTTACCAGATGCAAGGATGAATGATGTATAGTTTATCATTAATCAATAAAATTATACACATTAACTAAACCGACATAAATAAGAAGTATAGTGTAAGATCAATGTATAAATTACAGCTGTTTTCACAAGATGTGAACATCGATTTCTATATCTGTTATATACTTGTGTGGAAAATTGAATTCTAATAAGCTATTAAAACATTACAGCTATTTACAAAAGGATTTTTACTACAAATAACCAGCTTTTAGGGTTAGTGTGCAGTTTTAGGGTTCAAATTTTAGTTAGGGCTAGGTTTTTGAGGGTTCGATCATTTTTGATTACTGACATGAATTAGTTACGTAGTAGGTTTTTGGGATATAGCACCCGGTGTTTATCACCGCTGGTTATAGTTAGTAATAATCTAAAATGTTACTTATATCTACATAAAATTCAAATTTACTTTAAAAGTAATCACCGCACATTGAACTAAGTAAAAATATTCAGATGCTCTAAAATCTTCCCCAAACCATTATCTAAACCTTAAAATCTAACCCTAGCTTTAATATTTAATCTAAAAATTTTTTGTAATTTTACATAGTTCTTGTAAATCTACATTGAGTTTATAAAGCTTTTATAAAATTAAATAAAAATTCTACATACTTTACATAAAAATTTTGTATAGATCTATGTAACAATGTACTTGTTAATAAACTACCTTAAAAAAATACTTTCAAGATAAAACAACAATTGATCCCTTAAAAATTGAAATATGAAATGGCTACGAAAATTTTCATACATATTCTGAAATTTCTATGCTGTCTATCTTTTTGCTACCGAATACCATTTCAGACAGCTTTTGAACAATCTCTCGCGTGTCGATGGATTTGCTTGTATACATATGATCCGGGTGTTTTTGCTCGATGATCGAAGTATTATTTATTATTTTATCGGCTTTTAGAAATTGATTTTCGATTTCATTCTCTTTAAATATATTTAATTCATTAATCCAAATTCTAAAAAATAGCTCGATTTTTTCAACATTAGGTCTTTCATTAGGATCAGGATTCATACATTGGTTAGCCAATTCGATGTAACATTCGGGAGTTCTTGAAGCGAATTCGGGTCGCAACCCGTTGCAAATCTTTAATACAAGATCAGTATTAAATGGCACACCATCAAAAGGTCTTTGCCCAGTCGTTATTTCAGCCATGATAACACCTAAGCTGTAGACATCTGCTGCTTTTGTAAACGGTTTTCCTTGAAAGACTTCTGGAGCAATATATGGCATGACTCCATAAATTTCGCCTTCTTTTTGTTTTTGAAATTGAATCGAGAGACCCAAATCCGCAATATACGCATTATATAATGCATTTTGCAAAACATTACCACTATGTAAATCTCGATGAATAAAATCTCGTGAATGAATTGCCTGAAGGTCAGAAGAAATAAAATGTAATAATCTTAGTTTATCTTTCCATAATAATCGCGATACCTTAGAAAGATTTTTGCTTAGAGAACCCATAGCTGCATAATCCAAAACAAGTATATAATTCCCTTCATTATCTCTCGACATACCATGGCATTTAAAAAATAATGGATTTTTTTTTCTAATCTCATAATAAGCCCGCAACTATCATTTAAAATATATTTAATTAATGAATGTTAATATTTTTTAACTTAATGTAATAATTAATAAGTTACCTCATTTAAAAAAGGTTGAATTTGACTTTGTGTTTTATGGATTAATTTTAATGCAACATTAAATTTCCATCGAGCATAATATATAGTTGCGAATCCTCCTTTTCCTATCTCATTAATATTTTTGAATTCACTATAAGGAATCCATGTTATTTGATACTTATTTTTAATTTTATTTCTTCCATCCAAATTACACGCCTCTGCAGCTTTCATAAAATATTCTAAGGCTTTATATTCATCCTTTTTAATTCCAACACCTTTTTCATAACAACATCCAACTTTAAATATTCCGCTATCATTTCCCATCTCTGCTGATTTTTGATAACATTTAAAGGCATCATCTTCTTTTCCAATTCCGATTCCTTTATAATTTTTTGCGGCTCTATAATAATATTCGCCTGCCTTACGTTTGTCCTTTTTAGCTCCAACTCCTGTCTCATAACAATATCCAACATTATATGATCCACCAGCATGCCCCATCTCTGCTGATTTTTGATAACATTCGAGGGCTTTATGTTCATCCTTTTCAACTCTGATTCCTTCTTTATAATTGTTTGCAGCTCTATAATAATATTCACCTGCTTTACATTTGTCCTTTTCAATTCCAATACCTTTTTCATAACAACTTCCAACATTAAATGTTCCATTAACATGTCCCATCTCTGCCGATTTCCGATAACATTCGAAGGCCTTATGTTTATTCTTTTCAGCTCCGATTCCTTCTTCATAGTTTTCTGCAGTTCTATAACAATTTTCCAAGTATTCAACATTAAATGTTCCACTGTCTGGCCATATTTCTCCTGATTGTTGATAATAAAAAAATGCATTATGCACATCTTTTTCAATTCCAAATCCTTTCTGATAATTTCCAAAATTATACATTCCATCAGCATATCCCATCTTTGCTGCCTTATGTTCATCCTTTTCAAATATTCTTTCTTTTTTATAATTTTCTGCAGCTCTATAATAATATTCACCTGCTTTATGCTCGTCCTTCTCAACTCCAATTCCTTTCTCATAACAATATCCAACATTATACATTCCATCAGTTGATTTTTGATAAAAAATGAATGCTTGAAGTACATCCTTCTCAACTCCAATTCCATTCTCATAACAATATCCAACATTATAAATTCCATCAGCGTGCTCCATCTCTGCTGATTTTTGATAATAAATGAATGCTTTAAGTTTATCCTTCCCAACTCCAATTCCATTCTCATAACAATATCCAACATTATAAATTCCATCAGCATATCCCATCTCTGCTGATTTTTGATAATAAATAAATGCCTTATGTTCATCCTTTTCAATTTTGATTCCTTCTTTATAATTTTCTGCAGCTCTATAATAATATTCACCTGCTTTATGCTCATCCTTCTTAACTACAATTCCTTTCTCATAATAACGACCAACATTATAAATTCCATTAGCATAACCCATCTTTGCAGATTTTTGATAATAAATGAATGCCTTATATTCATTCTTTTCAACTCTGATTCCTTTTTTATAAATTTTTGCGGCTTTACAATAATATTCACCTGCATTAAGTTGGTCCTTTTCAACTCCAATTCCGTTTTCATAACAACGTCCAACATTATAAATTCCATCATCGTGCCTCATCTCTGCTGATTTTTGATAATAAATGAATGCTTTATGTTCATCCTTTTCAACTCCAATTCCGTTCTCATAACAACGTCCAACATCATAAATTCCATCAGCGTGCCGCATCTCCGCTGATTGTTGATAATAAATGAATGCTTTATGTTCATCCTTTTCAATTCCAATTCCTTTCTCATAACAATATCCAACGTTATATGCACCAAAACCCGTCTCTGTTGATTTTTTATAATAATCGAATGCCATTTTGTCATCAGTTTCGGCGTCAATGCCATATTGGTCTTTCCATCCGAGCTCGCAAAGCTCTGTTTGGTTCATGGTTTTAACATGAAAAAAAAGAAATGTAATATTTTAATTTTACGCCAGAAACTTTTTAAATATAGCTTTATTAATAGCATGTTGAATATCTTTCCATAAAAGCAATTTTAATTGCATTTGCGTTTACGTGCGTACGTACATACGTACGACGTTACTTCATTCATGAATTATTAAAAATCGGTGTGACCTAGGAGAAACAATTTAATTAGAATGATACAATATGGCAAAACAGCCATTTTTCGAGCTAAAACTGAAATTTATAACTTTGAAAGCACACACGGATTGATAGACTGATAAAAAGTTCAAACTTTATTTGAAAGTATTTTGTTTTCGATCAATATCTGAACGGAATTTAAAACTATCGAATAATAAATTACAAAGTTATAAAAGGTCATATTTTTAAAATAATTTATCAGTAATATCTTTCTTAGGTCACGCAAAATTAATTATCATAATTGGTTTTCATAACTCGGGCGGGCCAAATTTTGAAAACTTGTATGATAAAAAATTTTTTTTCTTATGTTTTAATAACGGGTGGGTTTTTTAAAAATTTTTTTATAAAAATTTTATATATGAAAAAAGGCCAGCCAGCTAGATCTATTTAAAAGATTCCTGTTACGAAAACCAATATATTAAATTTGTGTGTCCCTAATTACATCTGTAATTTATTGAATAAAAACCTTTGCTTAAAATTCTCAACATCTTTTTACCACCTCATTCATTATCAAGATAAAATTCAAGTATGCATAAATATTTCAGTACTATTTTTTGTAAATGACATATATGCTGTATACAAAAAAATACATGAATTTAAACGCTGTTTAATTTTACGTTAAGAAATTCGTGCGAGTTTTTTTTTTTCAAAGACTCACCTAATGATAAATTTACTTTTTGGTAGGTATGATGAATCTGAACTCACCCTTTTTTTTTACATAAACTAGAACTTGCACATATGAAGACTTCGCAGTCAAAGCATGAGGAAATAATATGGATGGTTTCTATTTAATATATCTAGTTTTCAAACACATTAAACAATGTTGTAAATGGTTTAGAAAGCAAAGATTAAACTTTAGGCAACTATATTTAATTAAATTGGAATAAACCAATATCTAACAAATTTGGAAACAACTTAAAATGTCTTCCACGGAAAAATAAGACATCGCATGTACGAACTATTTGACGCTTTGTGTATAATGTTGTGAGAAAAAATGGGACTCATAAGTCTACAAATTGCTATCTTAGAAACAGACACTCTCGAGACAACACTTGAGTTTTATGCGTAATTCTCTTATAAAAAAAATTTACATTTAAAAAAAAATTATAAACCAAATATAATATGATTTTGCGGACGAATCAATATAACGTAATTTCGTGGACGAATTAAATAAAAATTACATATTTTCAAGAATTGTCACGCAATCTATTTTTTTTACTACCAACTATTATTTCCGACAACTTTTGAGTAATCTCACGCCTACTGGTGTACATGCGGGTGGTTTTGCTTATTAACCGAAATATTATTTATTATTTATCAACCTTTAAAACTTTATTTTTGATTCCATCATCTTCAAGGCTTACTTAATTCATAGATCAAATTACAAAATAAGACTTAACCGTTTCAACGTCAGGTCTTTCATTAGGCTCAGAATCCATACATTGATTAGTTAATTTGACATAACATTGCGGTGTTCCTGGAGCAAACTTGGGTCGCAATCGCACAAATCATTAACGTAAGATTAATATCAAACGGCACATTCAAAAGCTCTTTATCCAGTAGTTATTTCAGCCATGATGACTCCAAGCAGTAATGTCTGCCGCTTGCGTATACGAAGCGAAATATGGTATAACTCCGTAAATTTTCCTTCCTTTTGCATTTGAAGTTGAAACAAGATAATTTAATCCATAATATACACGTTATACAACGCATTTTGTAAAATATTACCATTATGCAAATCTCGATGAATAAGATCTCGAGAATGAATTTCTTGAAGATTAGAAGAAATTAATAGTAATAAACAAGGCGCAAAGAAAGATTGTGAAGGGCACAATAAAGCAGTATCAATGTATAAGAGAGAAAATTCATCAGGCGTTTTAAAAGAAGGAGATAAAGATCTGTAGACTGGTCAAATTGGTCAAATAGTTAAATTGGTCTGGTCAAACCAACACTGAATGAAACTATAGCCCACTCACTAAGTAAAGCAGCCCAGATGATAATTTTGGTGTAATTCAGTTAGTTGTTGTTAGTTCTTAATGCCGGCCTAAATCCGACGGAATCCGACCCATAATTCGGGCTGATCTGCTGAATTTTTGTTTCTCCGCTAACACTAATCTATCCGACATAGTAGGGACAAAGTTAAAAATTAACAGTGTCCGTGTACAATGGACCCACCTAGTATCGCCACCAAAATCATGTACGTACGTAATACGGAGCTTAAATTTATTTACCGATATTTTAATAATATGAAATATGATAACAATAACGATAATAATATTATTTGATTAGTAGTGCGTAATTTGCTAAAAATGGAAAATAAGCATTTTACACATCGTTGTTCGTTCTGTCGAATTATGAAACCCATTTTGCATTTCAAAATAATCAAAAACATGCTTTGAGTGTTTACACTCATAAATGAAAGCAGAAAAAGGAAGCGTGAAGATCGAACTTTAAACAACATTTGCAAGAAAAAAGAAATCGTTATAGAATCTGAAGACGGTGTATGAAAAACTTACGGATGTTGATGGAGAAAGCATTACGCATATGGGTCTTGAGATAGATGTGGATATTTCTCAAATGATTACCGAATTAAAAAAAATGTTATCAATGAAGTTTTTGGCAAGTACAGTAACACAACGTTCTATGAAAAAAAGACGGTTATTTATATGTTCACCATAAAAATTATCGTAATAAACAAGTCAAATCCATTTCATTTATCTATTGGTGCAACTGTTACTGTAAGCTTTAGAAGAGAATTAAAAAAAATGATGAAAGTTAACAGCGATGGAGAGCCACGAATTGAATATTATAGGAATTTTTTTTGGGTGTTATTTGTATCTTCAGACATTTCTGCAATTTTCACTGGTGTATATTGTATTTTACTAATACCGTATTTACGCGAAATAACGCACATGGGCGTTATTTTGAAAATCGAATTTCCTTAAAATAGCATAGTTGGTTTCAAAATAACGCCCATGTGCGTTCCGAAATAACGCACACCCCATATACTAATGTTAATAAATTACCTTGATATTTACAATCAGCGATAGGGGTGTATCCTATACCTCGAAATAATGCCCATGCGCGCACTCGAAATAACGCGCATCACCTCGAAATAACGCGCAGATGTGCGTTATTTCGCGTAAATACGGTATTATGTTTTAGGCACTTAATTGTTCTTGAAAAGTCTAATAATCTTCCAAAACAAAATAAATGGCTTCAAAGTATTGAATTGAACTTTCACTTCAAAAAATGGTAGACGATATTATATATTTCGAGCGAGCAAAAAAGCTTCCGAAAACTTGGAGTGGACGTAATAAGAGTAATAAGAACACCTTTTACTGGTAGTATTAATTAGACTTAAAAGCTTTATACGTGTATTAAAAAAAATTGAATTTAGATGCAATACATTTTAAAAATTCAAATTTGAATGACAGTTTTGAATTTATAGAATAAATTAAATAAATTCTAAAATGAACAATTTGAATAAATAATTTGAATAAATAATTTGAATAGATAATTTGAATAAACATTTGAATAAAATAATTTGAATAAATAGTTTGAATAAAAATTTGAATAAATAATTTGAATAAATAAAACTTCAATTATTTTTTCGAAAATCTTGTTATGTAAACCTCGTAATTCTGCTATTCTTATATTAAACTCAGATTGATATTTAAGAAGCGATTACGTGCATTCGTGATTTTGGTGGCGATACTAGGTGGGTTTGTACGATACTCTGCCGGGACATCATCGCGGACATGGGACATTGGACATTGTCCGGGACTGTCCGTGTCCCTGCAAAATTGGAGGGACAGCGTTCGTGTACAACACTGCCCACGTATCGGTATGCACGTGTTAATGATAATGAATTTGCTTTACCCATTATTAGGTCTATTTTTTTTTTATACAGTATAATCATGAAATTTCGAGAAGCTCTATTTATAGAATCAACTTTTGAGCTTATTGTAGTGGTATAGTAAACTGTACCGAAGAGGAATTTGAAAAAATGTTTACCTCAATGGAAAGAACTTTAGCATTTTATGGTATTTAATTTTTATTCAATTGTATTGAATGCCCATCCACCTATCTGACATAACAGTAAAAAAAAAAAAAAAAAAAAAAGACGAACTTCTCTACTTTTATCTTAATATATGTCTTCCCGGTTATTCTGGCATCACTGATAAAGAAGCAGCCGCATTATTTTTACTGCAACTTGAAATATTTGTTGAAACATTAATAATCGATGCAAATGCATCTGTTTCGAATTCAACCCCAACCACTCCTCCACCGGTATATCGTTTACCCCGGGTAAATCTCGTGAAACTTCCACAACGACTCGACCTCAATACCAAGCACTCCTTTACCATCACTTATGGATAAGAAACCATCTAAACTACCAGATTAGGGATGGGAACGACTACGGATACAGCCAGCTATAGCCGGCTATAGCCATAGCCGATATTAGCCGAGCCGAGAGGCTTAGCCAGCCGGCTAAAATTATAGCCGATGCCAGATTTTTAATGTCCTGGTTGACAAAATAATAATCACAGCAT